TAGCTTAAGTCAATCACTTAAGAATCATTTGATCTTTATTGACTTCCAAGTCATGAAGAACTTCCAAGTCATGAAGGTTAGGAGGATTATGATTTTGTTGATGTTGTGCAAGGGTGGTGAATGAGTTTCTACCTTTTAATACCATTGTATTTGAATCACAAAATTACGTTTATTAAGATCAAAATTACCCATTTTCTCTTGGTTAATCCTAAATTTTGATTAAGGCATCAAAGTTTGAAATTATCACTTTGCCCTTAAGGCACTTCACCTCATAGCTCTTTAAACACAACTCAAATGACTTTGAGAGTTTAGAGTGTCATATCCATGAGGTAACTAAAATTTTTAAGGAGAATATGTGGACCTTTCAAAATTTAATTTAATTATTTATTTAAATTAAATTTAGAAAATAAGATTTTTAGAACTAGAAATTAATGTATTTAATTTTCAAAAATGAAATTTTTATTCCATAGAAAGTTATTAGAGGATTCCTTAGGCAAAAGAATAACTTAGACAAAATTGCATGACTTTTTGAATTAATTTATTATAATTATTTTAATGGGAGAATAAGGAAAATTCACTTTTAAGCCTTTAAAAATTATTTTTAATTCATGGAAAATTAGAAAAAATATTTTAAAGAGTCCCAAGTGATCAGAGAACAATTGAGAATATTTTGAAATATTTTGGTACTTTTGGGATTCTTAATTATTTTAATTATTTTAAATTTAAAATAAGGCTAAAAAATCAAGTATTTTAACAAAAATAACTTTTATTTTTCTTAAGTGCCCCTGTCATTAGGAACTCAGAAAACCACTTTTCATAATTTTCCCAAGTGTATTTGATTTATTATTATTATTATTGTACAAAAATACAATATTTCTTTGAAAATCAACTTTAGTGCTTAAACTTAGCCAAATAATTTTCAAAGTGGATAAACATAATTTTTATGAACAACGTGGAATTGATTTTGTCACTTTTGGATAAGTATTTAATTTACATTTGATTAAATATAAAAATTGACAAGGTAATTCAAAACATCATGATATTTTTCCTAGACTTCTCTGACCACAGGAAACCTACTAAAATTATTTTTATAACTTTTCAAGTGATATTTTGATTTATATAATTAAAATAAGTGCAAATGGTCACCCTAACTTGAAAATTTTGTCTAGAAGCATAAAGATGCTCTCTGACTTTGGAAAAATTAGAGGACATTTCCTCTGGGATGAGGAATGAACCCTAAAAATTTCAAGTCATGATGAGCCTTCCTTAGTCATGGAGAATTAAAATACCACACAAGGTATTTAATCCATTAAAATTTATATGTTTAACAAATAATTTTTATTTTTTGTCCACATTATTCTCCTCTGTTCACTGAGCAAGATAGTCTTTTTCTTTTATTTTTATGATTTTTTTAAAGAAAGATATGGATTTTTTAAGTTTAAGTATTTAAAATAATTCAAAAATCCCTATTTTTTTATTTATCCAGCGGCGCTGACTAGATCCTAGGCGGCTCTGGAAGAACATGTGGCGCTCCGCCATTTGACGCCGCCATCCCCCTCAACTGTCAGGCGGGTCGTGCTTTATGCACTAAGAGCTTGTCCGGTTTGATCTCCTCCGTCCATTGGATACACGAGCGATCGAACGACTCTCTGTTATCGTCCCCAAGTGACCTAACTCGTGTGTCGTTCACACTAAAACCTTAAGATCTTCATCTAGACTCAAGAAAATCACCTGGGGTTTGTTCCAAAACCTTCATCTACTCGAGACAAGCATATATATATGGCTTATACAGTATGAAATACAGTAAATACCTATGAAGAGTCGAAACAAGCTCAGTTTAGGGTTAGAGTTCAATACCTTTGTCTGATAGGGGAGGCCTCAATCAGATGGTTGTGATAGCTTCGATTGGGTTCAATGAACCTCTGATGAAGTCCCAAGTCTTGGTGAATTGTCTAGGTATGAATTTGATCAAGGTGGATTTCAGGTGTTGGTCTAGAGCTATGTTAAAGACTATTTCATAGGGGGCTTTTATGGGGAATCAACTTCTCTCACTGTGGGGATGGTGTGTGCAAACTGATGCTTATGTGGAGGGTTTCAAATTGCTAAAGCCAATTGGGATTAACCTGCTAAGATGGGTGAGTTTAGGTTTTAATTTGACCTTGGGGCTCTCGATTTTGGTGTTTTCTGGCCACTATGCCAGTCGACAGGGTCAAGGGTGGTGGCCAGAAGGTCATGTGAGCCAGGGGGAGGCTTAATTATAATTTACACCCCCCAATGGTTTGTCATGATGGAAGAGATTTTTTGGTTAAGACCAAAAAATAAGATGAAATCCTTTGATTTAGGGACCCATTGGTCCATAGCTTGCTTGGGTGGTTTAAGGTGGTTTAGCCAGTCAATAAGGTGTGTTTAGTGGTTGTGGAAACCTTAATTTGTTGACTTTAGGATGGCTAAGTCAATTCTGGTGCATGGGTCCAATTTGGGTCAAAATGTCTAAAAGTTGGGTTTGGATTTGGCTAGCCATGACTTTGAGCTCAATTGATTGATCAAAATTGTGTAAATGATTTTCATGAAGATTTTTGGTGAAGGATTTAAGTAATTTTAAGTTCAATTGGAAGCTCAATTTGAAGGATTTTGGGATTTTTGTCAATTTAAGGGTATTGGGTTAGACTTGAGTCTAGGTTGGGCTAGGGTTGGGTTAGGTCCAAATTAATGATTGGAAATGTTCTATAGGAATGTCATGAAGAGTTTTCAACATCAATTGGGTGTCAATTTTAAGGTTTGGGTATTCAATTTGGTGGAATTTGGGGACAGCCAATTTGGGGCAAATTTGAGGATTTTGAATGTGGGTTAAAATTAAGTGAAATTTAGGCTTCCCCAAGGCCAATTGAAGGTTAAATTTGATTTGTAGGAGTGTTATCAAGGGTTTAGGATTCAAATTGGGGCAAATTGAATAGGCTATGGGGTTCAATGAAGTGAGATTAAGTCATAGGGCTAAAATTGGGGGTTTGAGTTAGATCAAAATTGAGCTCAGTTAGATCAAAATTGAGCTTAGATCAAAATTGAGCTCAAAGCATGAGTCAATTAGGATTAAATTTGGTTTGTATTGATCAAATGAAATATTAATTTAAGTTTAGAATTGAAATTGAGTGGAATTGGGGCCAAATTGATGGACATTTGAGGTGAATTTGGAGAAATTGGGCCTTTAAAGACAATTTGGGGGTTTTGGTCAAATTGGCCAAATTGTGTTCAATTGGAGGGTTCAAATTGGTTTCGGAAACATTTGAAGTGATTTTGGATGTTTTGGGAAAGTTTGGACCATTAAGGGTATTTTTGTAATTTTGGTAAATTTGAGGGTATTTTGGTAATTTTGAAATTTTTGGGTGGTTTTGGGCAATTTGGGTATTTTGAAATGGTTTGAAATGACTTTTGAATAAATTTGGGTATTTTGGGTGAATTTGGGAATTTTGACCAAACTTAAGGTTACAATGGCATTTAGGTAATTTGGGTGGATTTTATGGGCAAAAGGTCAAGTTGGATATTCTGGTAGAATTGGGTACCAACCACTATGTATGAGCTATGGACCAATGAAATCCCCATTTGGGTCCTCAATGTAGTGGTCTTAGCTAAACCCTAGCCTAGGGCTAGTGGGTCTAGGGGACCATCTACTTGAGTCTCCCAAAAGATCAAAGGATCAAAGTCAACAATTTTGGGTCTTAGGATTGTGACTGATTGTGGGAGATAGTGAGTGCAAGTGAGTGAAATAGCTCCATTCCAACACCCAGAGTCAACCCTAAGGTCACGCAGTCCTATAGGGATTAACCTTGAGATCCCCCATACTGACTCCACCTACTAAGTGCTAGAGGTTATGACCAATATGTGGAACTTCAAGTTGAGCAAGGAAGAGCTTAGATTTTCTAATGGTGAGGGCTCCTTTCTAGTTTTCTAGAAATAGTCAACAGGAAAGTCTTATGGCTAGACCCTAAGCTACTAAAGAGGGAAAACTAAACTTCAACCAAAAGTGTGGTCAACATTGAGGTAACCGATCAACCGAAAATTCAAGGTCGAGCATGAAGTCGTGTCTCCAAACTCAGGATAGGTCCAAATTCTTGAGATGGTTCTCCACTCAAAAGCGGCAAATCCCGCAGAAAGTGAGAGGAAAATCACCTTGGGAGCAAGTCTTGTCGGATACCCCGCATAAGTTACGATAAGATCTGCCTAAGACCTTGCAAGATTGAGAGATCCGATCGAGACGACGAAATAACTAGACAGGTGAGACACGAGCCTTGTAACTCGAGTTGAATTAAAAATGAGCCACTGCTCACTCAACTGAAAAAGGTGACCGATCATGCTCGATTGATCAACCCCGCGCCTAAATCGAACGAGCACCTCACAACCAACCGCTCCAATCGACCATACTAAAAGACACCGAGCAAGATCGCCATGAGGCCAAACACCTCCACTAACTCACACATACTCTAGAGGGCACGAATATCACTCAACTAATCGCCTCAGTCGGCTGACTTCAAGCTAACCGACCAACTAATTACTGCTAACGTTGAAATTCAAATTGTAATGTAAATATGACATAAAATTTATACAATCAATTAAAACCATAATGACATTAAAAGAGATTTTCATAAACATTCATTCTTTTTCGTAATTATATAACACACACCTATAAGTACAGGACAAAAATACGAATAAAGGGGATCTCTCTCTCGATTCTCTCTTAAAAAACCTCAGACTTATTCTGCTCTCTCTCATCATTGCCTCATTCACTCAACTCTAACATTGCTGGGTGTGTGTTCAAAAGAATAAATTAAACAATTATATTATAAGTAATCTCTAATTAAATTTAACTTTAGTCAAATGTCCTCCACAAAGACATAAATTCCAACTAGAATAGAAGGGTCGTGGAAACGGACTACCCGTACCCCAGGCTTCCCACTCTGCTACGTGATTCGTGCAATTAATTCATTGGCGATCGTCAAGGAACGCTGCGAAACGCATGTACTGGAAATAACCGATCTCTCTCTCGCTCGTTACGTTTGGCTTCTTCGCCTCCCTTATTACTCCATCGTTATTTGAGTCTATTCGTTCGTCTTTCTTGTTCTTCTTCTCCTTGAGTTTGACCCCAATGGCGGGGCTGAACGGCCCCTTACGCAGCTGGGGCTTGTCTTCTTATTCACAAAGCAGCTTCGTCTGGAGACTGCTCCTCCTCCTGACGGGCCTCCCTTTGCTTCTTGCTGTTTTTGCTTTCTTTCTCCAGTGGCGCGGCGGCCTGGACGATCCCGAGTCGAGATGGCCGGCGGCTGGGGATCGGAGTTTCCCCGGCATGGGTGACAGCCCGCTGAGCCTCAGTGGCTCGTCTCCGTTGGCGACTTCACTGCTGTCTACAACGGCGGCGGATTGCGGCGAGATTCTCGGTGGAAACTCCTCTCCCTCATTCCCTTATCACCGCGGGGGGAAGTTGATCCCCGGCCTAAGGTGAGGATCGGGATGCTTAATTGCTATGCTTTATTGTTTAGAGGGTGCTTATTGGGTCGAAGTGGAAAGGGGCAACGCGATATTGGAATTAGGGATTTCACTTTGCAGTTTCAGGATTCAAATGGGGGTTGCAGATAAGTTTGGTGCAGGGAGGTGACGGGAAATGAAATGGAACAGACTTGAAATTTTTGATGCGGATGCTTTTCTTTCAATTTCACTCATCCTCCCAGCATCTAGTCGGAGCTTGTGTTACGATTAAAAGTAAAGTATAATTTGATAATTTGATACTGTGATATCCGTCTGTCAACCTTGGCGGTGTTTGGCTACATCACTGATTTACGTTAAATAGGATTTTGTAAATCCGAATTTATCATATCGATTTTGACCAGGGAAAAGTTTCTAAGCCACCGATCGAACATCTGCCTGCGACTTGACTTTAATAAATCCGGATTTAACGGAGCGTTGGATTTAGGTTTAGTTTTTTTTTTTTTTTTTTGTTGGCTGGATTTAAGCTAAATCCATTGCTCCGCCTTGATGTGACGATCATCATTCTCCCATTGAATCATATGTGGCAGCTCGTTTTTCTTTTTCTTTTTTTTTTTTCTTTTTTTGGTCATTTCGCATGGTCAAGTTGTAACGCAGCATCAGGTACGACTTCGCTGATTTCATGCGCCTGCAATTGTGCAATAATTTACTTCGTGGATAGCATCTTCAGTGTAACAGTTACCATATTTCGAGTGTTTTGTTACTCAGATTAGCTGTTTGCTAGCCCGGTCGTACTGATTATGCGCTCAGAATAATTTGCCCCAGGTGTCTTTTTGATAAGAGTTTTTTGGGTTTGATTAACTCTTGTTTGAAAATAAGTTAGTTAGCACACCTAATTATAGTTTGCTTTGATGACTGAATTCAATTTCTCTAATGATCTGGCATAGTAAGCCTTACCTGTACTTTTCTTTTGTGTTTTGGAGTATCTTTTGTTTCGTGTTTGTGTGCTGTAGCTGGCAAGCTATTTTTGTTCTGGGGCACTGATTTAGATATTCTGATCTGCAATGTGCAGATATGTATCACCTCAAGCACTTCGGCTGGTCTAGAACAGATCTTACCATGGTTATTTTACCATAAAACCATTGGAGTTACAACCTTCCTTCTGTTTGTAGAAGGAAAAGCTGCAAAGCCAAGCTCTTCAGCAGTTTTGGAATCGATTCCTGTAAGATAGTTCCCTTTTATTTATTATTAGACCTCACTGTGAGCATTGAGCACTCTTTATAATTATATGCTAAAGCTTTCATGACCGTTTTTTTTCCTTATTTGGGCAAACATTCCTGGGTAAATTTCTTGACCTCTGTTTCATACAGGGGGTGAAAATAATATATAGGACTAGAGAGCTTGAGGAGAAGCAAGCTAATAGGTGTGTTCCATTTCACTTGCTTTTTGTGTCTAATCAGGGTTCATTTTGGAAGGAATTATTTTAGTTATCATAGAATGTGTTTGTTCAATTGGATGTATTGATTTTACTGCTCTTATACTTTTTATTCTGCAGTGCTCAGAACTTGAACTCTTGACATACACATGGGATAGAATTTAGAACAGATATTATAATGAAAGAGGCTAGCCTTCTTTGAAATGCATAGCAAAGTTTATGGCCGGTTGAATGAAACATTGAGACGTCCTCTTTTAAGAGGCACATGAGTTAAACTTACTCAACAGAAAACCATTAGATGAGTATTATAATATCAAAATTTAACCCAAACTTTAATAGTTATATTTCTAGCATTAACCTCCTAGACTTTGCAGTTTAAGGGTGCCTCTTGTGCTGACTACACCTTTTTCATGTAGATGTAAGCAAATTGTGTGACTGCATATCTTTGTATGCTAAACGAGCGAACATGGAACCAATATGTGACACTTGGTACTTCATATGAATGCCAGTTGTCACCTTTTTGAATTGCATTAAAACATATTTAAAAGTTAACATCATATCATTCATATTATTACTTTGAAATTTTAATATAATATATGATGAAAGTTTAATTTTGAATTTAAAAACTTTTAAAAGCAACTATCATATTATGTGATTATTCTAAATTTGAATATAACACACGGTGTAATTTTAGTTTTGTAACATATTTTTGTTATTGCTTAAGTATCACATAAGGCATATTATTTTTAAATTTGAATCCAAATTGAAAACAATAACCATTTTTATTACTATTAAATTATGCATGTCAACTATTTTCTTACATACATACATACATACATACTTACTTACGTTTATATACATATGTATGTATCTATATAAACATACATACATATATATACATATACATGTATATATATATATATATATATATATATATTGAAAAAAGATACAGATAGGTTGTATGAGTGAGCCCAAAATATAGGCACCCAACCCACACAATACAACACAAAAAAAAAGTCAAAAAGGGTAAATATAAAAATTAAAAAAAAAACCCAAAACCACCGGGGCGTGAGGGTCATCCCAATTTAGTCTTACCCTTGTCTTTAGTTTTCGAAAGGGATCCAACTAATAAATTGGTAACGTGTGTACCATTACCCGAAGTAACCAAAGTATCATCCATAAGATTCATGAGCTCAAGTAGATCTTCATTCTTCTTCTTCCTCCTAGAAGTGTAACCTGTCATTTCTCTTTCGAAGAATCAGTCTGATGAGGTGGTAGAGCTGTAGCAGAAGGAATACCAACCGTAGTACCCACAATTGGTTTTATTATATGTGAAATATGAGTTATCTCTACACTGAATACTTCCTGAAGATGGGGAGCTGTGAGGTTCTCTTGATTATCAGTCTGAATGCTATGCTTTATAGGTAATAGTCCTTCAGTATTGTTTTCTATGAGGTTTGAAGTGGTCAGCATTACATCAATCACAGTAACAACAATGTCAGGGTGGTTCACAGGGGCAATGGACATCTCATGTCTAGTAGTATCCTCCCCAGGTGGAACTAAAATGTTCAAAGCAGTGGAGTTAGCCCCATCCTTATGCATTTGAACCTTAGATTTCAAATTAGAATGGAGCTTGTGGCATTTATCAAGGGTATGCCCAAACATCTCATAGTGGGTACATAATGGCGGTCTGTGTTCCATGTTAATTTTTTGTCAAAATCCATTATGAGTTGTGCCCAGTCAGACTTCAATAACATCAGGTAAAGTAATATCCCTTTCCACAAATATTTTGGCCACAAAATGTCTGATTAGATTGAAAGTGGGTAGATCTAGCTTCATAGAGTCTCTAAGGATGACCTCAATAGAGTAGAGAATCTGATGATGAAAAAAGTGCAGCTTGAGACCGGGTAAACTAAACCATACCGGTATAGTAATGTTCATGATTTGGGTCGAAATCAGGAGATCACTTGAGTAATTTCATTGATTTATCTGGGTTATTAAGATATTTCTTGGAGAAAATCTGGGTGTAGTCTTCAGCCACAGTTAATTGAATCAACACATATCTCATATCCATGAGTCTCACTTTCTCATTGTCTACTAGTTTAAGATCATCAACACTCTTCTGATAACTTCCATAAGTGAGTGCCCCACTCAAATTTTCCAATAAGAACAAACTTGAATTTCTCCGTCAGGGTTGAAATTTCTAAATCAGAGAAAAAGATTGTTGATTTTCTTGAAATTTCCAAGTCAGAGAAAAAGATTGTTTTTTTCTCACATTTTCTACTTTTCTTCTTAATAAAAGGCAATCACATGTACCATCACGACAATCCTTATAGTTTGAGGGGAAGACAACCGCGGACTCTACATGAGGGTTACCAACCACGTGGGCAAAGACGGTTTTGTCCGGTTTAACCAAAGAGAAGGGAGTGCCATCAGAGCAGGGAGATATGTTAGCCTTCACCAGCTGCAAGTTCTCCGACACGCAGACAAAACGAAGCTGGAGAATTTGTCGGGCAGGGCGCAACGTCGAAACAGAAACGAGCTGCAGCATAATATGTGACAGACTACTGCAAAGTCTCGATAAGTAGTTGTCGACGTCGAAACAGGAGGACGCGAACGTGCGAAGCAGACGACGGAGAAGATACAGACGCAAGCCGCACATTCGACGCAGACACAAATGCGAACGTGCGAAGCAGACGACGCACGTTTGCAAGACAGATGCGAGCTTCAGTCGACGTCGAAGCAGCAACGCGAGCCGACGATGGCGGAGAAGACAAAGCGAGTAGAAGACGATGCTGGAGAAGACACAGCCAGGATCTGATGCGAAACGGTATAACAGTTGCTAGGGTTCTCCATGAGTCCAAACCCTAGCAGAGTCGATAGCGGGAGAAGACGAAGCCATTATGTACACACACACACACACACACACACACACACACATATATAAACATATATGTATGCATGTATGTAAACAAACATTATGTGCATACATACGTACATGCATATTGCATATTGCATATATATATATATATATATATATATATATGTATACAACCATATATGTATGTGTGCATGTATGTGTATGTATACATTACATAGATATATACATACATACATATATATACATTCATGCATATACGCCGTATATGTATGTATAGATGAATATATATATACACATATATATTTATAACTATATATATATGTTGCTTGCTCTGTAGGTGGTGGGTATTGAAGCTTTGGGGGTTATTTTTCTTTTGGGATATACTTGTACTTTTGGACTTTTTTTGCTTGTGTTTGTACACCTTGTGGGTGGGTCCTTTATACTTGCTCACTAAAATTTATCAATGTTTTTTGCTTTATATATATGACTTTACAGATGAAAACCAAAAAGTCATGGCTAGCGATACATGTATGTATGTATGTATTTATATATATGTGTGTGTGTATAAATATATGTATATTAAAAAGCGAAAAACATTGATAAATTTTAGTGAATGGGTACAAATGACCCACTTACACACGCAAATAAGGTCCAAAAGTACAAGAAACCCTAAAAGAAAAATAACCCCCAGAGCTTCAATACCCACCACTTACAAAAGCACGCAACATAGATTGAAGCTTTGGGGGTTATTTTTCTTTTAGGGTTTCTTGTACTTTTGGACCTTTTTTGCATGTGTAAGTGGGTCATTTGTACCCATTCACTAAAATTTATCAATGTTTTTCGCTTTTTAATATACATATATTTATACACACACACATATATATAAATACATACATACATACATGTATCGCTAGCCATGACTTTTTGGTTTTCATCTGTAAAGTCAGTTCTAAGCCCTCTGGTGCACAGGTTTGAGTCTGCCTGAGTGCATTTGCTTTATAACGCGAGATCGAGTGATTAGGTATATGAGGGTGGTTAAGGGCTCGTATCATAGTCTCCGACCATTCTTTTTTCAAAAAGAAATTATATATATATATATACATTTTCATGCATAAGGTGACATATATATATATATATATAAAATAAAATTTTAGGAATTGAGCAGGATAATTTTGTTGTTATGAAAGGGAGGTTTAAATATAAATTACATGACTCCTAACGTAGAAAAGAAATTAAATAAGAAAACATAAATTCATAAATTTCTAGAATAAGAAATACATAAAATAAGCAACTAAAGGAAAGTAAATGACTAAATGCTGATAACAGAATAAATTAATTTTAATAATTTTAATACTCCCTCTCAAGTTAAAGTATAGATATCAATTATGTTCAACTTGAATTTGAAGTTAAACAACTTACGGGAGAGATTCTTTGTGAGGATATTTGCTAGTTGACTACTGGATAAGGCAAATCGATCATAAATCTCTTCAGAATTGAGCCTTTCCTTGATGAAGTGATGGTTAATCTCTACATGTTTGATGTGATCATACTGGACCAAATTATGAGTAATGTTAATGACGACTTTATTATGATAGAACAACTGTAGAGGAATAGAGATCGGCATACGTAACTCGCGGAGTAGGATGCACAACTAGAGAGCTTCATATATTTCTAAGGACGTAGAACGAAACTCGGCTTTAACACTACTACAATCAACTACTTGCTGCTCTTTGCTTTTCCAAGTGACAAGATTTCTCCAAACAAAAGAGCAATAACCCATTGTAGATCATTGATCATGGATGGACCCGACCCTATTAGCGTTTGTATAAACTGTAATAGAGTGAGAGGTGTGGTGAGAGAACAACAAACCTGAGCCCGATGTGCTTTTTAAGTAGTGGAGGATTCAATAGACAACGATGAGATAGTGCTTACAGGAATCATGCATGAATCGACTTACAGTACTAACAATGTGACAAATGTCGGGGCGCATATGAGTGAGGTAAATGAGTTTACCCACAAGGCGTTGATAGTGTGACTTGTTCACCGGAACGATATTGGAAACATCTATCAATTTCTCGTTGGGATCCATCAGAACAACCGGTTTACA